TGGGCCTATTCAGACTTTCTATATCCTCCTGGCTCAATCTTGGTAGATTATATGTGTCCAGTAATTTGTCCATCTCATCCAGATTGTCTTGTTTCTTGGCATATAGTTGTTTTTAGTATCCTCTAATGATGCTTTGTATTTCTACCATGTTTGTTGTTATATTGCCTGCTTCATTGCAGATTTGATTCACCAGGTTCCTTTCTCTCTTCTTAGTAAGTTTTGCTAGTGGTGTATTGATTTTGTTTATCTTTTCAAAGAACCAGCATTTACTTTAATTATTTTCTGTACAGTTCGTTAATTTTCTATTTCATTTATTTCTGCTCATATCTTTATTATTTCCTTTCTCCTGGAGTTTCTTAGGTATTTTTGCTGTTGTTTTTCCAGTTCTCTGAGGCACGATGTTAAGTGATCCATTTGCCTTCTTTCCGTCTTCCTCTTATGTACACTAATTGCTATGAACTTTCCTCTTATGACTGCTTTAGCAATGTCCCAAAGATTATGGAAACTCATGTCCTCATTGTCATTGACTTCCATGAATCTTTTCATCTCAGGCTTTATTTCTTCAGTAGTTGTGTAGTCATTTAAGAGTAGGTTGTTTAGTTTCCATGTATTTGAGTATTTTTGAGGAATTCTCTTGAAATTAAGATCAAGTTTAATTCCATCATGATCAGGGAAGATGCTCAGTATTGTTTCTATGCCCTTGAATCTATAGAGGCTTGCCTTGTGGCCTATCATGTTGTCAGTCTTCAAAAAGGTTCCATGCGGGGGTGAGAAAAAAGTGTGTCTCATGGTTTTTGGGTGTAAAGTTCTATAGATGTCTGTTAAGTCCATTTGGCTTATGGTATCACTTAGCTCCTTTATCTCTTTACCTATTTTTTGTCTAGATGATCTGTCCAGAGGGGATAGTGGGGAGTTGAGGTCTCCAACAATTAGTGTGCTGCAGTCTATATCTCCTTCTACATCTAACAGTCTTTCCTTCACATATTTGAGTGCTCCTGTGTTAGATGCATGGATGTTTATAAGCGTTATATCTTCTTGATCGTCTGACCCTTTTACTACAATATAATGCCCTTCTTT